GGTGGAACATGGCTGAGTTCTGATCCCACTGCTCATCCTTCTCACAGAAACGACCCGCTTCGTGGTAGCGAACCATGGCCAGGTGGACCTAGGTGAAAAAGAGACAGAAATGTGACCCTTAAAGAGGTCCTTCACTCATATTTTTATTACATTTGGTCTACAGTAGGAATGAATGCCTCCTAAGTGGTACTCTGGGGAAAAAAAGCTCTGGTGCACCTGTTTCAGCACAGAGAATTCAGCCAGAGGAGAACGCTGTTTCAGACAGCAGGATTTTAAGTCTTATTTCCTGATATTTGGACACCTTGCCTTGAAATTGAGATCTCTCAGGGGCCGTGTGAATCGTTTTTGACATTTTTTATCGATAAAATAGTGAGCATTAGAGCTCAGATACCGGCATGTCCTCTCCAGGTTGCTGCTGGATGCTGCCCTTCAACTTTTTGTCAATTTGAACCACTGACTCTGGATTGCCTGTGGGGGATCGTGGAACCCTTAAAACCCTCAGGTTCTGCTACTGACGTGATTCGTCCCCGCCTCTTTAAGGAAGTTTTTTCCTCCGTGGGCCCTTGGGTTCTTACCATGGTTAATAGTAGCCTTTCATCTGGTGTAGTTCCAGAATCTTGGAAACAGGCTGTTGTTCAGCCACAACTTAAGAAGCCCAGTCTTGACCCCTCTGCTGTGTCTAATTATAGGCCTATTTCAAAACTTCCATTCCTTTCAAAGGTTCTGGAAAAAGTGGTGTATTTGCAATTGATGGAGTTGTTGCTTACAAATGATATTTGTGAAAAATTCCAGTCAGGTTTTAAGAAGGCACATAGCACAGAGACTGCAATGCTCAGGGTCTTAAATGGTATTTTATCTACTGACTCTGGTGATTTTGTGGTTCTGGTGCAGTTGGATTTGTCTGCTGCCTTTGACACCGTGGATCACAGTCTCCTGATTTCATGGTTACAAGAGTCTGTCGGGGTTAAGGGAGTTGCTTTGGACTGGTTTAAGTCCTATTTGGCTGAGAGGTCGTTTTGTGTATCATTAGGTGGTTTCACGTCATCTCGCTCACCTCTCGTATGCGGGGTTCCTCAAGGATCGGTGCTGGGCCCGTTGTTGTTCTCTCTTTATTTGCTACCTCTGGGTTCTATTTTTACGAAACATGGATGTTTTTTTCATCTATATGCAGACGACACCCAGGTTTATATTCCCATTAAACGTGGCCTACCCAATCCTTAAGATCCTCTCCTAAACTGCCTCGATGAGGTTTAAACCTGGATGTCTGCAAATCCTTTACATTTTAATAATGACAAGACTGAGGTCATGCTTTTTAGTCCTAGTGTGTCCAGTGGGCCATGTTCTGCTGACCTTTGTCCACTAGCCCTATTTTTGAAACCTGTAGCGACCAGTCTGGGAGTCTGGCTTGACAGTGATCTGCTTCTGGAAAAGCAAATCAGTGCCGTCACTAAAGCCGGTTTTTATCAGTTAAGGAGGATCGCCAAGGTTAAGCATCTGCTCTCAAGTCATGACTCTGAGACGGTGATGCACGCATTTATTACATCACGCCTTGACTATTGCAACGCACTGTACCATGGTCTTCATCAGTCTCACCTCTCCTGTCTTCAAATGGTGCAAAATGCAGCAGCACACCTATTGACGGTTTCGAGAAAGAGGGAGCACATTACTCCAATTTCAGCTTCGGTGCACTGGCTGCCTGTCGATTTTAGGGTCCAGTACAAGGTTCTTTTATTGGCTTTTAAAGCTGTACGTGGCCTTGCTCCGCAGTATCTGTGTGAGCTTTTAGTTACCCACTCCCCGTCTCGGTCACTGAGGTCAGCCGACCAGTTTCTCCTGGAGGTGCCGAGAACAAAGAGAAAGCTCAGAGGTGATAGAGCTTTCTCAGTAGCAGCTCCAAGGTGGTGGAATGCGCTCCCAATTCATATTAGGATGGTTTCGTCACTGTCGGGTTTTAAATCACTTTTAAAGACTCATCTGTTCTCAGTTACTTTTAATTCAGTTTGAGAATGCATCTGTTTTTAGTAGCTTTTGTGTCAGTTTTTATGTTTTTATGTTTTTATCATGTTTTTACTTTGTGAAGAACTTTTTATCTTATTTTTAGAATTTTTAGGGAACTTCTGTTCTTTTTGGCTTGTTAAGCACTTTGGTCAGCTTTTATGCTGTTGTAAAGCGCTTTATAAATAAAGTTGACTTGACTTGGATTGGTTAACCGCAACAAGACTCTACCGCCAACTCTGTTTACTTTGTAACGTTGATGTTTCATCTCCACAGATACCTCAAGCCTGAAGGAGCTCTGCCGTGTTGTGGAGTAGCTAATGCTAATGGTTAGCTTTAACTACGAGAGACGTTCTCTGCCGTTTCCTGGACTCTGAACCAACAACAGCCTTCCTCGTCCATGAATGTTAAGTGGCAATGAGACGTGGATCTGTCAAATCCATCAGTCTTTTCTAATGCCTGCATGAAAACTCAGAGCGACCAATTATTTTAAAAAATAATAAGTAAAAAATGGTTTCCCAGTGAAGGACCACTTTAAAACCAATTTAAACGTAGAATTTCCTGAAGGTGCATTGATTAATCTGAGTCCCAACTTCCAAAAAAAAACCAACCAAGCTTTCTGCTTATTCCTTAGACTGTTGTGGGTGTTACATTTCAGAACAAAATGAAAAAAAAAACTAGAAGCAAACACAGAACGTAAATCTCACCTTTCCCAGGATTGACTGTCCGATTTTCTTCTGCAGCAGAGTGTTGAGGCGCTCCACCTCGGTGGCCACACAGGAAGGCCGGTGAACGTGAGCACGAGACGAATGGAAGAAGCTCCACTTCTCCTCAGTCAGCTGAGCAGAGAAAACAAACCAGTTAAGAGTTCACCCAGACAAACGCCAGCTCAGAGCTGGAGGAGCACATCCCCATCCACTCAGAGACGCCAGAGGCAAACGACAGCAGGAGAAAAGAGAAGCCCAAACAAAGAGATGATGGCGAGTTAGCTGAGTGGCAAACATCAGGGACCTGGAGGTAGATGGTTTTTCAGTCTGAAAGTCAATTCTTTTAAATGAATTTGTATTTGTAACTCAGCTGAAGCAGTAAAGGTGTGAGCTTGATAACAGCTGCAGCTTATTGATTATTGATACAAATCTTCATGCTTGGTAAATTATCAGCAAAAAGTGAAGCTTTAAAGCAAAACCACTGCACAGAGCTGGGAAAACAGTCAGCTAGCAAGCCTTCGGGCAAATAATAGTCACCCATTGAATGTCGGGACTTTGTGAATATAAGTTTGCGGAGACTCTTGGAGGAGCTACCATCTTCCTCTAGTGGGGGGGGGGACACAGAAGATGAGGGGGTAAATTATGAGGAAAAAGTGAGGAATGATTTTTCAGTGTCAACCAGGTGATGTAGAGAAAAGAAAACACTGATGATGATGATGATGAAGGGTGATGATTGTGTTATTGGATTAGAGCGAGAACGGTTATGATTGAATTCACACACATTTATCTTTGTTTACCCGTCTGACACTGTCGTCATCCGACTCAGAATAAGTTCTGTGGTAGCGATGATGGGCCTATGTGACGATACAACATGCATCAAAACCTGCTGCCAGGAGCTCTAGTGAGAGCCAAACGTAATGTGGTCAACTGCAGAACAGACTTCAGAGAACCTCATCTCTAGCCTAGAACACCAACACACATCTGATCAAACGTGTTACTAAATGTTAAATAAATCGGTCTCCTCGTTTCTGCTGTAAAACGAGTCCTGAGTGGAAGTCTTTACCCCGTCCACGTGGTCGTTTGGCTCCCCTTCGCTCCTCCTCTCACTGGGGTAGCCGCTGTCTCCTCCGCTCTCTGAATCCTGCAGAAACAACAACAAAACTCAGGACTAGTTCTGACACTTTTACTGAAGCAGGAACAAACCTCTACTCTTCTATTCCCATTACTTAATGTTTAACCACAGTGTATAATTGCAGTCCTTACTAGATTGTCTTTAAAGAAAGACGATCAGACTGCAGAGAAATGGTGCCTTCAAGAGGTCCAGGCTAGTGCTGCGTTGAGTTTTCGTAGCTTAGTCATAAACTCTGTTTCTCTGAACCGAGGCTCTTCAGAAATCTATAATCTAACAGGTATTTTTAAACAACCTTTACCCACAAACACACTTCAAAATCCCCTTTATGACTCAGTGTTCATGCAATTCCAGCTTTGACACGACCACCTTCCAGAAACAGGACCAACTCCCTCACGCCACAGCGCTACACCACAGCTGCGTCACCCAGCAGGATATGTGCAGCAGCACACTGTAGGAAGCAGCTAATGGGCTGCAACACGTATCCATGTAAACTCCAATGTAAAAACAGAAAAGAACATCCCCTGGAGACCCGTCGTCTCTGTGTACAAAACGCTAGATGTTTTTATTAACCCTGGCTGCTTAGTGTTGCTCTCAAGCATGTCGTGTTGGTCTTGTTGCTTTACCCACACAGTGGAAAAGAAACAAAAGTCACTGTAGACAAAAATAAAAAATAAAAAATACCTTTCTGAGAGAGGAACCAACTGTTACAAAAGGAGGACTGTTGGTCCAGAACATTGTTTCGGGCAGATCTGTTTCCACAAGCTTATGAACACTCTCATTGTTGCACTGGACTCAACTGTGGTCAGCCTTTCAACAAATCCGCTCTGGAACGCTGCAAGGCCTCATTACCCAGGGGCCAGAGGGATGTTTGTTTGCTAAAGGGCTACACACATGCTGAAATTAGCTGAATTCCCATAATCCTCACTGTAAGGGAGAAGCTGTGCAAACAAAGACAAATAATCAACCGTAACCGAGAAGATAATTCAACTTTGTAAGCAACTCTGAGAGTGTAAAATTGGCTAAGAAATTAGCCCACAGACAAACATAAATGCAGGAATGATGCAGAATGTAAAAATTGAATAATAATTCAATTCAAAGATACTTTATTAATCCCAGAGGGAAATGAGCGTTTCAGTACACACAATTCAGAGATCAGACATACATGGGCAAAGACACATGACAAGAATTGGTAACTGTGGTCATTTGCAACCCGAGTTGCGGTACCTTAATAGAGATCAGAGGGTTACATGGGGATTGGTTCAGGTGGAGGGAAAAAAAGGCACTTCAGAGTTACCCCTTCTTTCCACCGGAGCCGTCAGCAGCACGTCATAGCTGCTGATAGGAACCGCTGTGGTCAACAGAACCTTTTCCACCGGAACCGTCAGCAGCGCGAGTCGGCAGCATCTCAGGAGCAGCATGTCGCGGCCCTTACGCGCCGGTTCTATTTCTACGCGCAGCGCCTCTGAAACGGGTCAAGTTCGACATTTTTGGGGAAGGAAAGACAGGAAATCGGACGTGAAAATGGAGCGAAGCTTCCCGAGATTTTCAGAATAAACAAACATACTGCCTTCCGGTTGCTTTACTTAAAAAAAAAGTTACTAACTGTGCGGCCCGTGAGAAGTTATCACCTAGCTAACGGTCTCCTTTGTTTTTCAGGTCCGTATTGGCGATTATAAAATGGACAGAACATAAAACACAAACCTTTTGGAACCATGTTGTAATTTTCTCCTGCTTGTTGTTGTGTTCACTGACAAAGTCACTCGTGTGACTTCGTGCTCAGTCGGTGACAGCTGCTCCCCTGCTGCTTCGCGTCTCGTGGGAAAGGCCAAGCAGCAGCTTACGCGAGCAAGACGTGCTGCTGCAGTAACGTGCTGCTGACAGCTCCGGTGGAAAGAAGGTGTTACCCTCCACAGGGAGGGCAGCTTTGCTATGCAAAAAACACCTCAGACAGAGAGATGCAACAGACTTCAGACATCACACAACATAAGTGTTCACTAGGTGGGGTGGTGGGTTTGGGACTCTCCACACGTCAGTTCCAGCAGACAAACGTTAAGCAGCGCATGTCACCTCAGTCTGGACAGGAGAAGGAGGTTGTTGAGGTTTGGAGGGCACAGTGACTCCTGGAACGATTCAGCGGCCTTCACAGCCCGCAGTCCTGCCCAGGCTGGGATAGGAGACAGAGTTGCCATAGCGACGGCAGCATTCCACATTTCTTCTGAGCGGGAGTATTCGTCGCAGCCTCACAGGTTCAAGGGCACCAGATTCAGATTAGAAATTGTTTTGGGGCCAGACAGAGATAATTTCCTCTCTGTCTTAAAGTTCTGTTGGTCCTCAACCTCTCAAAATCCCAATAATGGACATTAATCTATCCCAACCTGTGCTGATTCGTCCACTTTCTCCTTGATGGCATCCATCTTTTGTGCCAAAGCCGTTCTCATCGTTGAAAAAATTGTATCCATCGCGTTAAGTGACCAACTGACAAGATCCATTTTAGTTATTTCAGTTTCCAGACAAAATGCAGAAGCAGCTGTGCACCCAAAGACAGACAAAAAGCCTTGAGGGTAAGATAGGGAGGAGAGGACTAAAAAAGCGTCTGCACTGTCCAAGAGCCGGAACAAATATATTTTTAAAATCAATAATTTTAAGAGCTTTGAAACTTAAATCAGAGGTTTTAACCCAAATTAACCGACTAAAGGCAGATTTTGTGAATGTGTTTAAGCAAACAACACACACTGAGAACACTTGACTGCTCACCTTATGATCAGATGTGTTGTTGTTGTTGTTGTTGAGTCTGTCATGTTCAACCATTCCAGAGAGGGACATGCCTGGAAAATGTAGGAAAACACCAACTGTTCACACACTAGTCCATTCCTCATGCACCGTGCTCCTGCAGACAAATGGACAGGAACGCACCTGAGGCTGATCTGCCCATCGACCCGCTCATCACTATGGGGGAGAAGGGAAGGGTGAGAGGCGAGCAGGAGACCGAGTCCATGTCGCTCGCGCTCTCGTCTGCAGATGAGGTCTCTGACAGGCGGGACAGCAGCGGAGGCACCCGGCTGGCAGACAATGTCCGAACACGAGGCGAGCCGCAGACTTCCTCACACCCCCTCAGCACCGTCTGGGCCGACTTCTGACAGGAAACGAGGTGAAACTTAGAGCTAAAACATGACAGGACTAACGAAGACACACCAAACATGTAAAGCATTCCAAATTGAGACTTTATCAAAGTATTAAAATTACAAGTAGCTTGCTGGTGCAGTCCATCTGGGACTGCTCTGCTTGGGCCAGGTCAAAAGGCGTCAAGCCCATGCTCTTGCAGATCTTGTTACACAGGTGGGAGTGGAAGAACAGAGCCATGCCACGAACACCTGGAACACAGGTGTTAATCAGAGCGGAACATCTGGAATCACTTCTGCTTCAAACATGCATCAAATCGTCTATCCAACCTAGATTTCCGTCTCCAAAGTCCGTCCCCTTCTCCGTGTGGATCTGAGGGTCCGTGTAGAGGTCTCCAACTCCCTGGATGTCCACCACGATCAGCTGGTGGCCCGACCGCTCGAAGGTGAAGTGGCTGAAGGCCTGGTGGAGGAAGAAAAAGGGGAGTTGGATACTGGACCATCAGCTGAGTTGGTTTTCTGAACTAAAAGGTGGCGCCGCTCACCTGTGGGGTCAGGCGGATGTTGTCGTCCCTCACAAAGCCGGAGTTGGAGTTGTACTTGATGTACTTCCCCTCGATGTAATGCTCCAGGTGGAAGAGAGGCTTGCCCGGTCGCTGTGCCATCTCCACCACACACATCTGCATGATGTCCACCTGAGCAGGAGTTTAAATGGGTCATCCAAATGTACTTCTGTTACAGTCACAGTCATGACGAAGACTCATGAAAAAACCTGTTTGGGAGGTCTGTGGCGGTTGTACTCCTCCCCCCAGAGTTTAGCCTCCATCTGCAGGCGGACATCCTCAAAGTAGACGTCTCTGTCCACCATCTCCATGTAGCGCTTGGCCACGTAGTTAGAGGCTGATTTCCAGTTGCTGCTGTGTGAGAAATTCGACAGCTTCTTCCTGGTGGAAGAAGATAAAACACGTGTTCATATGACTTCAGCATTTTAATACAGATTTTTAAAAAAACACCCCGGAGGCACCACGTCTTTACTAAATTACATAAACATAATAAGAGGACAAGCTGAAAGTGTTTCCAGATGTGACCTCAACGCACGGAGAAACAAAAACAGCTTAGTGCCTCACATTTACAGTAGAAACTGGAACAACATGTCACCTTCTGGTATGTTCTTCTGTAAAACCTCACATGCTGGAGCTTGTAGAGGCAGGGGGGTCATTCTTAGGTGTGTTCTTGCTGTGTCTTTGTAAATCCATGCTTTCGTTCTTTTTTAAACACAGAAACAGTTTTGTTTACCTGTTTGTAGCTACGGTTTCGCCGACAGCTGCCGGCTTCTTCAGGCTGACGCTGCTGCTGCCCGCAGATAAACGGAGAAGGAAGTGACGCGCCACCATCAGCGTCAGCCTGAAGAAGCCGGCAGCTGTCGGCGAAACCGTAGCTACAAACAGGTAAACAAAACTGTTTCTGTGTTTAAAAAAGAACGAAAGCATGGAAGGGGGGGTCATTTCTAACCTTTTTTTGTTAAGACAGGAATTTTACTTTCTAAAAGATGAGTTCCTCTTTTTTTATAGCTTTCAAAATACTGTAAAAAACGACCCATTTTTTTTCCTCTTTCTTGATACCATCACCCAGCGGATAGCGCATGATGGATCAGCATCAGGGGATTCTATGTCTACTCTGATAATAAACATCTGAGGAATTAATCTCAAGAGAAAATAGATAAGAAATAGCCTCTACGTGCTAAAATTAGTGTAGCAATCTTAAAAAAAAAACAGCATCTGCCAGCTGCACTTCTAATTTGGAGGCAGAAATGTAAACCAAGTGAAGCAGCGACATATTGCTGTTTGGTTTCTGTTAAGTCAGGATCAGAACTGGCCACTAAAGAAAGAGCATGGACCACTGCGAAGAGACGTGGTGAATATGGAAAAATAGTTTGACTTACGTTCTGAAGCACTCCCTCATGGCCCCTTTTCCAAAGGGCTGTGAGAAACCAGACAGAAGGAAACAAACGGGATCAGACAGCAGCAGAGCACAGAAGCACAGCCTTCTTTAGACAGGCAGACGAGTACCTGAGAGGCCATCTTGATGTGGATCTGGTCCTGAGCCCACTCTCCTGTGATCGCATTATACCTGGAAGGACCAGTACACTCATTTTACATCTGCTCAACTCACATTTAATACTGATCTATGGTACTTATTATTTTGAAATATAGCATGAAATGTTGCATAAAACACGTGAAATGACTATTCAGGTAAACATGAAGTTTCTACATTTAAAATTGAAACAGGTTTATGTTTATATGTATCTAGCAGACGCTTTTGTCCAAAGCAGGTCCGGTGTTTCCTGCTACATACGGTGTTTTACATGTTTGTAAGTGACAGATCAGGACAAAAAGACATGTTTTACATAAGATTTGTTAAAGGATGATCTTTTTTTACTTCTAATTACTAGTGCTTAAATACTAAACCTGTTTGTTAAAAGTAATCCTAAACGAGGCTGCTTTCACATTTCAGCCAATCAGAGAAGGGCTTTCAGAGGGGCAAGTCTTAAAGAGACAGGGACTCGAGTCAGGATTACATTTTATCTTTCATTTTCACCTGTAAATAAGAGAAGCTCAAAGTAAAATGACTGAAATGGAAAACTGCTTTAAATTTGGAGAGAAATTTTTCCACTAAATCACACCTTAACATTTTAATAAACCCTCTCATAACAGCTTCTCCGTGTGTTATTATTTTCTTGCATAAAAACATGATAGTGTTAAATGATCGGTAATTATTATTATCATTATGCAGCGGTGCTGCATGGGATAAATAAAAAACAACGTGCCTGCACACGTAAACAAGGTAGCAGGAATACTAATTTAGTGCACATTTTTGCAGCTCTGAGTTCATTTATCGATTCTGATCTGCCATGAAATAAATCCACCTTTTATGCTTAAAACCACTAACACTGAACTAGACTCCTCATTTATAACCACCATTCCGTTACCTTTATTTCGCCCTCAGAGCACAAGGCCTCAGACTCATATGTTTACAAAGCTAGGGTGTTCTCAGCTTCTTATCTATTCTAACAAGGGAGCATTTACTTTCCTGTTAATGAAAAACCAGAGTTGAATAAAACTACATATTCATCTTTTAACTTACATTTAGTTCTGACTAGTGTTTACTGGGCGGACTACAGAGGATCGAAAAGTCAAAAGAGAGAACCGAGCGTCCTCCTGAGCTCAGGGTGTGGGTTGACCGACTGACCAAAGTTAATGAACACTAAATGACACCAGGAGCAGACGGATGGTGCAAAGAGGTTATTTCTCCTTGCATGCACGCAAAAAAGAACTTTCCAACATCTAAGACCAGTCCTCTCCCTGCTGATACGAACATCGGGTCCCATGGCGCTCAGGCTGCAGAGTGCCAAGAGGGCTGAGGTTACAAGTGGGTAAATTTAGCCCTCAGAAAGAGTGGAGCAGGAGGGCAAATCCCAACCTCTGTAATCCCTCCACCCGCTGAATCCCCCCTTATGTAACAGGACCTGGTGTTCATCGTGCTCTCTGCCCACGCCCAAACCCTCATTTGTTTTTGCCTCACTAGCTTAAGGTGTGTTTGTTGATTCACCCACCAAGCCTGGACATTACATCTGGACTCAGTATCCCACCCAAATGTAAGACCACGTAAACAAGTCAATGCAGTCAAAGGGACATCAGTGTTTCATGTCCTGGTTGGACAACGCTGTGATGTTTGTCAACAGCTAAAGCCGACACGCAGACACATGAAGCCCTGCAGACTAATCTCTCTGTGCTGACTTCATAAACAAGCTATAAAGCGCTGACACATTCACTAAATTAACTTTTTATCATGGGTTTTAGCCCAGAAGTTCAAAGGTCAAATCAGCATGCGTAAACAAATTTGTTCATAAATCTAGCCAAATGCTTTTGCAAATATGACCGATTTGACTTTTAACCAACTGATAGGACACTCTATCTGCAACAACAAATCTGTGATAACAGAGAAACAACTGTTGTTATTGAAAATCCCAAAAGGACGCTAGAATCAACATACGGTGCACGTCAGGTTACGCTGGAAAATAAAGGAAAGGGTTGGCTTTTTGACAAAAACGCACTGGTACCTGTAACGAATGCACGGTTCAGTTGGAATTTCCTCCAGATGAAACTGGGCCCAGGGGTCGGGCATGGCTCGGGCCTTCTCAATCGCATGTATCCATGCAGCCTGATGAAGAAACAAAAGCATGTTTTAATCATTGTAAGAAAATGTTGTGCAAAAAGTTAAAAACCTGTTTTCTAACCAGGTTTGATGGAACACAGATAAGGAACAGAGGGTGCAGTTCTTTGCAAAGCTGTTTAGTTTGCACAACAATGGTAATTCCTGGCATATTATTGTCTTTTCTTTCACTAGGCATGCATGAGGCGATGTGTAAAATGTTACAGCTTCTGCACTGAACTGGTTCCCCTTGTTCTCTAACACACTGGGGTGAAAGGAGCCAGCTGCAGGATGGAATCAGAATTTTTTGAGTGGATTTCAAAGCACGTCCAACGACTATCGATTATAACAGCTATTTTCAAATGAATGTGAAGTGTGACAATTTGGAATTAAATACGTGTTGGCAGCAGAGCTCGTGAAGCAAGTATGCAACCAAAGGAGCAAACAGAGTTTAGACACGTCCTGCACGAGGCAGCAGCACGTCTCATATGTCAGCGCTCACTGTCCAAAACACACATTTATATTTAGAATGACAGATTTACATAAAGAATGTGTGTGTGTGTGTGTGTGTGTGTGTGTGTGTGTGTGTGTGTGTGTGTGTGTGTGTGTGTGTGTGTGTGTGTGTGTGTGTGTGTGTGTGTGTGTGTGTGTGTGTGTGTGTGTGTGTGTGTGTGTGTGTGTAAGGAGATGTTTTCAACTGAGATGGTGTCAGATTACCCAGTCTACCTCAAAAACATTACAGCTTGGCGTCAAGACTAAAGGATTGAAATCACTCCTGAAATATTAACAGTTTGTGAGATTTTTCTCATGATTATGATAAATTTCATGCATTTCTAACTGACAAACATTGTTTTTATTGGAGGATGTTTTTTAGCCTTTTAAAAGTAATTGAATTATTTATTTTGAAGGGAAAAAAAAGGAGGATGTGATGCAGGAGATGGTGAGGGAAATTAAAGCACTAAGGAGATCATACCAAAGCAGGGAAAGGGCTGCAAATAACAGAGCAGGGAGGGATGAATGGAGGCAAAGATAGTCTTTGGCAGATAGGGAGAAGGTTAAACGTAATTTGATCCCAAACATACCCGTGCGCTCTCAGACAAAACATGGTACGTTCGGTGCTCTGCCTCGGTTTCCTTCTAGTTAGAAAGGTAAAGAAAATGGACGATTTCCACCCATTAGCAGTTAGATTTAACAACATATAATTAACCTTTTACGGCACAAAACACACAAAAGGGTATTCAGTTGGACAACAACATGTGTCTGGTGCACAACGTTGGTGATAAGCAGCACTGAATGGAGCCATTATGCAGCGGGCTGCTGATCTGCAGAGAGCCAGTCTGAAGAAGTACGTGTTTACACACAGAGTCGTCGTGAGGTGAAAGCCACTCTATGGTACTTCCTGTTCTTGTCAAAGAGTACATTTAAAGAGATGACTGGCCAGCTTCCACTTCAGTAAACAGATACACACATAATAACACACGTGTGTGTGCAGGCATGCATGCATAGATCATTTGTCCTTAAATGGACAACGCTGTCTGAAGAGATGATTCTAGGGGCTCACCCTGTAGAAAAAGCTGTTTTTTGGAAGAGAGTTGGATAGCTGCTGGGTGTAAGCAAGGTCTTTCAGGTAGTTGCAGACTTCTCTGGCGGAATCATCCAGAATGGGAGAGATGAAGTGTTCTTCATCGTCTTCATCATCACTGGCATTGGCATCACTGAGAGAGGAAGCCCGGTGTTTGACGCCACTTCGCTGGGAGGAAGTTCTCTTGGAACTGCTGCTCTCCTCCTCCATGCTGAACATCAGGTCGTCCTCCATGGTGCCTGTTGATGAAGAGGAGTCAGGTGCAGGGAAAACCTGAGCAACATTATTTTAATGTGCGGCAGCCATCTTAACACATGAGCACAAACAATCCTGTATCATGGCTGCACAACCATACATACATGAGGTCATTATAGAGGAGGCTGCACGTGGCAGATGCATTCATAAACTCAAACAGTACAATGCTTTTTAAGTCATCCATTTACATAATAAGAAGATATACTCAGTGTAATAAAAGATGTGTGTTTCACTAATGCTGAGCTGATAACAACAATGGGGTAAACGCACTCATCTCCCATTCGTTGCAGCAGCCCGTAAATAATCTGAACCCCTCCTAGGGCAAATTTGAATTTCTGTGACGGATTATTTCCTGCTATTAGAAGAAAGTATTAGACAAGAGAAGCCAACCTTCTGATCGGACTTCGTAATCACTTTCTGCAACTGACAGTTTATCCCCCCTAGAGCTCTGTCCTCTTCCGTCCTCAAACGCTTCAGTTAGAAGACAGAAGAACGTCCGAGCAGCAGTTCAGAAACTCCTCCCATCGTGGAGCGGGTACGTTCTGATCCTCCACTGTATCCTGACTGTCCGGGACGTGTCTGGCAGCGAGCGCAGCTCCTGTACTTACTTGTACACTGTACCACCACTGCGACGGTGTTCCTCCGCACGTATCACAACCATCGCAACATGGTGTTCTTTTATGGCCACGCCCACCACCCCGTGGTCAGTTCAAAAGCGTGGGAAATGTGGCTTGCCGCCTTTCAGGCCAGGCGCTTTAAAACTTCCGAGCACGAATCTGAACTTGAAGACAATTTAAAGAAAACAAACGAATACAAACACTTGTAGTTAGAAGAACACGCGACACAGGCGAAAACAAAGGTACATAAGAGAGGCCAAGTGTGTTTGAGTAGGCAGCATTAGATCTCCGTACAAGTGAATGGATATGGGTTAACCTCATAACTGCCGGTGTACATGGTGTACAAGTAAGTCATGATTAAATTTGGTTTCAGCTCCACAGGTCGTGGGTGTCCCAACCTAATCCTCTAAGTCAGTGTTTCCCCACCCTGTCCTCAGGGCGCACTGACCTGATTTACATTGCCTCCTCAGGAGGACATCAAATGCTGCAGATGCCTGTTAATCACCCACTTGTTTAAGTCAGGTGTGTGGGAGCAAGGAAACACAGATGTTTAAAAGTGCAACATGGAAAACATGCAGGACAGTGTGCCCTGAGGACCAGGGATGGGAAACACTGCTCAACAGATGAAATAAGGTGTGTTGGAGCAGGAAAACAACTAAAACATGCTGGTTGGCTGACCTCCATGGCCAGAGTTGGACACATCTGCTTTGCCTGTTACCTGATGTTGGTTTTTACGTCAACCAGGAGAGAGGGTGTGATAACTTACAGAGTTTATGTTAGGTGATGCACCCTGATTTTCTGTGTGTTGTTTTCAAGAAATATCTTGTTGATGGGACAGTTGACTCGTTCTTTTACTGCACGCACTCTCTGTCCCATTATGACCTGAGCTTCCCTCGTCTTCCCCTCACACCCAACATGAACAACTTCAAGTAAAGAGTCTCTCCAGCTGGCCTTTTCTTTCTTCCCTAGTGTTCTTAACATTTGCAGCAGGGTGCAATTAAGTCACTTGCACCTGAGTTAGGGGTTTCCCTGCGGGTGATACGTTGTGGTATGGCAATGGCTAACGCGGCGCTGTGCACACCTACCTTCAATCAGCAAACACCCTGATGTATTCTGTGCTGTGTGTTCATTTTTGCCATTTGTCACACCGGCTTGGGGTAGGATGGGGGGAGTCTGTGTCACTCATTCCGTCTCCTCCAGGAAGCTGGCTCCAAGCCATTTCGTGGGCGACCAACACAGTGTGTGTGGCTGTCAGAAAGCCTCACTGTGCTGCTGGGCTCCGAAGTAGACCTTAGGAAGAGGTCTGAAAAAACGGCCTGTTGAGCACGTAAAACCAGGCTACCCAGATGTGAACACTTTATTCCATACCTGGGCTGGACTGAGTCAGCCCTGATTTGAAAGCGGCAGAATGCATACGCGTAGGAGATTTCTCAAAATTTCCTGTCAATAGGGGGCAGTACATTCCTAAATCGTTGCAAGCTAGCAGTACTTTTGTGTTGGAGTAAGACCTTACCAACGGATGCCCATTAGGGTAAAAAAAGCCCTGGGGAGTGCAAACTTCAGCAAAATAACAAGCACATCAAACTCCTTTTCATCACTGGCAACAAGTGAAGAGGTAAATGTGTAAAACAACATTTGTAAATAGAGAAGGTATTGTAACCGTTTGTTACAAATCAGTAAATGCATGTTGTCCTCCTGGGCTCCCGTAGAAGGAAACATGACATCTAATATTGTGTTGCCCAGAGTCACTCTCATGTGTTTTAGACCTGATTTTTATGGTTAGATGTTACAAGGCCGCCAGTATTTTTCAACTGGGCATCATTTAACTCATTTTCCCCAACATTTTGATGGATGTTTCCTGGTTGGCCCATGCATTAAGGTGGCCTTGCGAACATTATTTTAACAGTTTGTTTTTGTGTGTTTGTGTCCAGGTTTGTGGCCACGAATGACCTAATGCTGGAATTGCAGAAAGACAGCATCAAACTGGACGAGCACAACAAGAGGAAAGGGGTGCACATGCTACTCAGACTGTTGGGAGGACAAGAACGGAGAGGTCCAGAACCTGACTTTAAAATGGCAAACATGTCAAACACTTTTAGTGACAGAACAGACTCACATGTGCACTCATTTTTTCATCCAGTAAAAAAAACATAGGAATTGCATTAGTGTACATTTATGTAGTGGATCTCTTAATAATAATAATGGATAATCACAGTTTGAATTTTAGCCATTGCACCTCTGGTGGGCAAGGTGAAGGAGCCACAGGTGGAGGCGATGGTGGACATCCTGTGTGCCAACATGGCGTCAGACAAGGAGCAGCTGAGAGACATTTCCAGCATGTTACTGAAGGCTGTGATTGCTAAGCTGCCGCTGTCTTCCTCAGGTGAAGGCTGCTAGTTTCTTCTGTGTCTCAGGACCAATGATGCAGAAAGTAAACTGTAACTGCAGATTAGGTCCAGGCTGCTGAGCTTTTTATCCAGACAGGCACCTGCTGGTAATCACCATCAGACAGCATTCATCATTGGTGATCCACCAGTTTGAGACTTAAAAATCAGATGTTTATTTAGGTTCCTGAAGGCACCATTTCCAAACAGCAATAAACAATGTTAGGCATGTTCCAAACTCTGAACTCACCATTGCTAAGTGCTACTGCATTGTGACCTGATGCAGAAGAGGTCAGACACTGATGAGTCACACCGTATGAAACATGGATTCTCCTTCAGCAGGTGTGACTCTGACCGTCAGTGTGTGTAGGAAGATCACCTCCTAGCTGATTGGAGCACTGCATGGAAACAGGAAGATGTGTCTGTTCAGTTAGAGGCTCTGGACATCCTGTCAGATATGTTAGGAAGGTAATTATGGGTCTTTGTTGATATCAGGCTCTATAAAGATCTGTTCACAGACTGATGACTGCACATATTTCATTCTGGGACAGCAGCAGCGCAGGAGGTAGAGCCGGTTGTCCAGTAATAAGAAGGTTGCAGGTACAATCCCGGCTCTGATCAGAGAATGCTGACAACATTGGTTGTCTTTTACATTCATCATGTGAAAAGGTTTTTGTGGGGAAGAACCACAAGCAACAAAACATGCCATTTTTGTAAATACTGTTTTTAAATAACTGCACCAATGTGTAAGACTACGTTGTAGTGTGAGTTTCTGAGGCCTTGTGTGTGATGTCTGTGGGCAAAGTTTTGTTTTTCAGCAAGAGTTAACGATTTTGAGTGTAGAGCTTCATTTTCACTTGAAAATACGATGTTTGGGAAATTTGGTGAGACGTTATGGATTTGTGTTTTGAGAATACAAGGCATAGTTCAAAGAAATGTGTTTAAGCAATCGAGAAAAACTGGAATTGCTTCTCTTTAAACCGTGTCTACTAAAAGATGCAAGATTCCCTCACAGGAAGAAAACTGGATCAAAATAAGCTAAAAGTTGCACAATGTACAGCCGGCTTTAGAATGCCAGCTATGTTTTCATATTGTGCTGCTGTTTACTTCTTTTATTCACCCTAAATAAAAATTTAGTTAACAAAAAATGGTGCTGTACTTTAGCTTGTCATGCAAATCTGTGCATCCAATGTTGAATGACTCCTTTAGTAGAAGTTTGCATCTTTTTCAGCACAATCTTTGTCCAGCGAGCTGTCGGACATCTGCCACTGCAACCATCCTAGAGACACCTGGGAACATCAGTCCAACCAGAGAAAATAACGTTAAACATTCAGAGCTGTAGAAAAAACACCACATGCACTATTACTAATGTTATCCTTGATCTATAATTTTAAAACATTTTAACTCATGTATGTTACATAAGCAACAACAGGAAAAATTAAGCTGAACAATAAAAATATTTGTTTGAAAACTGGTTCAGTAATAATATTATCTTAGTTATTTAAAACTGGTAGCTATTTGCACAAACTTAACAAAATAGGCCTTGAGACTACCAGATTATGATTTAAAACCCTTAAAGAACTCAAAATCATGCCAAAAATACAATTTCATTAATCAGTAAGGATTTATTTTCATACATATATCAAGCCAAGTCAAGTATTCTTTATTCCAGACTCTTGGTCCAATTCACAGAAGCAGAAAAAAAACATTGTACAGGTAAGATCAAATGAAATATGATATGACAATAACAATATGACACACTAAAGCACAATAAAACAAATAATCACGAAAACAGAAACAAGAGACAATAATTACAGTAGTGTGAAAATAAAATTATAGTAACTCCCTAATCTAAAAATGATAAAGACTCTTATACCAGTGTTTTCACATCATTAATTGGTACTGCACTGACACAGGTACTGGTTACATTTAAAATAATGACATTGTGTGGTCAATAAAATTTTCTTTTATTTGAAAGGCCCCTTCCCTGTTATCCGGAACCTGTAATTTATTTATATGAAGAAAAAAGCTTTAAGAAAAAGAAAATGACCCTGGTTGAGTTACTGACTAAAAGTGTAGCTTGCTAAGCTATAAACTATTCTAATGGTAGGTTAGCTTCCAAGCCCAAACGAAAAAAAGCTTTTGTGGACCATACCAATTTGAGTAATAGGAGAGAGAGGGGTCATTATCTTTCAATGATAACAAACAAGGGAATTACCCACAAGTCATTATTGCAGGAGAAAAGGCTCAAGTTCCTTTTCTGAAAATATGTATTTTCTAATTAAATTAAGTTTAGGATGATTAGTTGATGCTCTAAAACTTTTAGACTTCCTGGACCGTCTACAGGTGGTTCAGAATGCCTGTGCTCGGTTTCTGACCAAGTCCTCCAAACACACCCACATCACCCCGCTTCTCCTCCAGCTTCACTGGCTGCCAGTCAACTTCAGAGTTCATTTAAAGATCCTGGTTCTGGTCTTTATGGTCTTACATGGACAAGCACCATCATACGTTGGTGATCTTCTCAGTCCTTACACCCCCAGCAGGTCCCTGAGGTCCAGTGACCAAAGCCTATTGGTTGTGTAGCACACCAGGCTAAAGACCAAAAGTGACAGATCATTTGCTACTGTGGCCCCCAGACTCTGGAACCCTCTTCCCCTCAGCCTGAGATCAGTGGACTCAGTGGTATCCTTTAAAAAGCCTTCCCTGCGGAAGGCACTTAAGGAGTATGGGGTACCAGGCCCATTGATATGGGCTGTTAGGTCTGGGCATGGTTTGTGTCGGATCTTGGTCGACATTGCCAGTGTTATGTCGATTTGAGTTCCCCCCTCGAGATCTGTTTCTGCTCCACCCATCTACTAGTTGGAACCATCCACTCACACAGAAACAGATCTCGAGGGGAGAACTCCAATCGACATAACACTGGCAGAAAGTCGGCTCGTTCCCGTTGAGAGTTGGACTCTGCCAAGGCTGCCCTTTGTCACCAATTCTGTTCATAACTTTTATGGACAGGATATCTATGCACAGCCAATGTGTTTAGGGGATCTGTTTTGGTGGCTTGAGGATCAGGTCTCTGCATTTTGCAGATGATGCGGTCCTGCTGGCTTCATCCGATCGTGACCTATAGTTCACAACCAAGTGTGAAGAAGCTGGGATGATAATCAGCTCCTCTAAATCCAGCACTGTGGTATTGTGTCAGAAAAGGTTAGAATGCTTTCCCCAAGTCAGAGTTGAGGTCTTGCCTCAGGCGGAGGAGTTTAAGTATCTTGAGGTCTTGTTCAAAAGTGAGTGAACGATGGAAAAGGAGATCGATAGGCAGATTGGTTGGCTGCATCTGCAATGATGAGGGCGTTGTCCCAGTCTATCGTGGTGAAGAAAGAGCAGAACTGGAAGGTAAACCTCTCGATTTACAGGTTGATCTAAGTTCCTACCCTCATCTATCGTCACAAGCTTTGAGTAGTGCCTGCTGGTGGTGGTCGGAGGGACCGGTGGCGCCAGTGCTCGGCAGCCTCGCCTCTGTCAGTGCGCCCCAGGGCAGCTGTGGCTACATCGTAGCTTATCCCCACCAGTGTGTGAATGTGTGTGTGAATGACTGATTGTGTTGTAATGCTCCTTGGGGGGTTCCAGGACTATAGAAGGTGCTATATCAATTACAGGCCATTTACCATTTACCAAAAGAATTACATTGCGGATACAAGTGGCCAAATTTAGTTTTCTCCACAGGGTGTCTGGGCTCTCCCCTCTCCCTTAGATAGGGTGAGAAACTCAGTCATCCGGGAGGGGCTCGAAGTAGATCCTCCACATCGAGAGGAGCCACTTTAGGTGGCTTGGGCAGAAATCTGTATTTTTTTAATTTCCCCAACTCACATAAAGGTTTCACAAATCACAAAGTATGTTTTACGGAATTTGCTATTAGTCTAATAATCTAGTTCAGGTATGAGGAGTCTAGGTATTGTAGTTTTAGCACATGACCAGTTCCAATGTGGTCTGGATGCTAAAATGTGCAGATATCTGCCTTTTTTTAAGTTTCACAAATCAGATAAAGGTTTCACAAATCACAAAATATGTTTAACGGTATTTATTGGAGTAATCAAGACCCAGTTTGAAGAGTCTAGGCATGGACTAAAGATGTTTAGGGAGCAGACATTTTGGGTGGAATTGCTCTTTTCCAAACGAGAACCAGAAATGGGAACCAACTTCTGCTTCGTTTTAATCAGATAAGTGAACATTTTAAATGCAACATATGATTGAAATGGTAAAGCAGAAGATAAGTAAAATGTAATATACATTTTCAATTAACTAATGAATGTAGAAGAAAAAAAAATTCCAAATCAATCTCACACACATGGCGGAAAGATGTGCAGTAGATGGAAGTAAAACAATAAAATGAAACATACATTCTGGTCCACACATCAATGGTAGCGTGGCCGAGTGGTCTAAGGCGCTGGATTTAGGCTCCAGTCATTTCGATGGCGTGGGTTCGAATCCCACCGCTGCCAGGTTGTTTTTTGGAAGTTTTTTTTATGTGCGCTGCAGGATTCTGTTCGATTCTTTTGCTTTAACTTAGACGTCATCGAAACGATTGTACCTTTCCTTGTTATTTTTATGCCTAGAAACAAAAACAAAAAGCTTTTAACTTAACAGGTGCCACCTCGTGGCTAACCGGTTTATTGCACAGCTGAACTAAAACTTCTGATAGCTTAAAAAATTGTCAAAATATAACCTTTTAACAGAACTTCATTGCTAAATTTAAGACAGGAAATTACCGATTTCTCTCTTGTATTTATTTTCTATGATGTACTTTGAATAATGAACTAGATCTGCTTCTGAATAATATCAATTTTCACAATGAAAGCAATTCTAGACCTAATTTTGGACAAACATCACCAAATTTGCCTGTTTTGAGTTTTTTTCCCCCAATCAAAATACACAAAGTAATAATATATAATATAATTTACAAACTAAAAAAAGTATCAAAGCATAATCCGTCTCTTGACAAGGAGTCCACAGAAATACCTTGGGGAAAATGTTACAGGAGTCAGACAGTGCTTTATTTAATTTAATGCATAGTAAATTATAAAGGTCTACATACAAAGTGCTTTTTGTTGTATTTAATTTATGTTTTCGTCCATTTTACTTCCTTATCAATTATTAACAGTGTTTAGACTTAAAAATAACCCATTAGTGGACCCCAGCTTTTTGATTCAAGTGCTGAAAAGCCACAAATTGCATTTTCTGAATGGCCAGTTGGGTGTCCTCAGGAGATATCCCAAGATGCCACACGGCCCTAATGGAGTTTTCAAAATGAGGGTACATGAGAACCTGTAGCCCCTGCCCCAGAGCCTCCTCCTCTCCTTCCCCGACCTGACTCATGCGGGTACAAAACTCCTGTGGGCTCAAAGTAGGATCCTTAATTTGGAAACGCAGGATGTTTGTCTCAACAGCAGCCATTTCTACACCAAACAGGAAAGGGTTGTATTCCAGTAGAGCTGGCAGAGGAGAAAGATCACACAGTTCAGTTGGATGACAATGACAGCCAATAAAATACGAGAATTTATAAATACAGGACGTGAGCGACTCACCTAGAGCAAAGGCTTTGGCATTGCGGTGATCGTCCTCCAATCTTCCCACCATTTCTTGTAGAGAAACCTTGCCAGCAGCTGCAAGAACACCAACCTGTCTCATTCCCCCTCCCAGGGCTTTACGGCACCTTACCGCTCTGGATATAAAGTCCTGAGGTCCAGCGAGCATGCTACCTACTGGGGACCCCAAACCCTGTTTATCACACACAAACATAACTTACATCATTTCATCTCTGCATTTGAATTTTATATCTTTAATGATTTTTTTAATCTATGCATTATGTTACCTTGGAAAGGCAGACGCTGACTGTGTGTGTGTGCTGCAGTATAGTTGCCACAGGGACCCCCTGAGCCACAGCGGCGTTCATCACCCTGGCTCCATCCATGTGGACAGACAGACCATAATGATCTGCTACAGCACGAACCTTAGAGGAGTGGACACGAGTCAGTCAGATAGGATCAAAGTTGTACAGGATGCTGCAACTAATAAAACATAGAACACACACATCCTGCAGGAAGTGCAGAGGCAGCACGCGTCCTCCCTGAATGTTGTGTGTGTTCTCCACACATATGAGGCGCGAGCGTGGGTAATGTGGGTCTGGGTAACCGTGACGAATCTTTGACTCCAGCTGCTTCAAGTCAAATGTCCCATCTGACCGAGTGGTCACTGTGGTGGAGTGGACACCGGCCAGCTGTGTCAACACGGTAAAAGCACAGTGAGTTCCTTTAAACTGTAAACTGCAGCAGGTGTAGATGCACGCTCACCTGAGCACTGCCTCCTTGCTCGTAGATGTGCAAGTGGGACAGATCGCCCACAATCACCTCGTCGCCTCGCTCCCTGCAGTGCACCATTACTGCAAAGTAAAATACAGACATCTTAGCAATCATCCACATGGCAAAATGATGATGCTTGGCTGATGATGTACCTGCAATGAGGTTACCCATGGTTCCAGAGGGGACAAAGAGGGCAGCCTCCATCCCAAACATATCTGCTGCAATTTTCTGTAAGTCTGCAGAAATCAGATCAAATTAGAGATATAACAAGGTGTGCTGGGTCACGACACTGTGATGAAGCTTTTTTCTGTGCAGATTCTGGTTTTAACAGGGTAGACTGAAAATTTGTCCTTGTGTTTCATCTAAAGCTTAACTAGATGCATTTTTATTACTCAGTTAAGTAAGCTGTTAGAATCTACAAAAGTACAATAAAAGCTGAAATCTTCATTCATAACTGGATAATTATTCAATTGTTGACTCATTTATTTAACCCTCTCAGGCTCAAAATAAGTTTTGATAAAAGGACGAACAAGTTAAAAAATGCTCATGAAATACGTATGTGGAGTAACCAGGTAGGAAGGTTTTAACTGTTGCAAATCTGCAACGCCTGCCTCCAGAGGGTTAACGTTGTTTCCAGCAATACCGGTACCTACCGTTCACCGTGGGGTCCTCCCCCATCACGTCGTCCCCCACCTCGGCCTCCGCCATGGCCTGGCGCATCGCCGGCCCGGGTTTGGTCACGGTGTCGCTGCGGAGGTCCACCACCCGGACGTGGGTCGCCCCGCAAGGGCCAGGGAACCTGGGTTTCCCGGTGTTGTAGTAGCCCCGAACGGCACACCGAACCAGCAGGGTAGCGGCATCATGTCGCCTAAAACACGGATTGCTGGAGGCGACGTCACCGTGGTTGAGTAAAAAATGAAGAACTCTGCAAGACAAAGTTCTTACATGCATGATGCTCCTGTTTCAATCACATCCATCACGGTAGGCGTTGGTGGGTGCTGAACTTTGGACCAGTGAGCTTGTAATCGATAATCATTGACTGCAAGGGAAACTAATGGATTACCTATCCAAACTAATAGCTACATTGACCATTAGATGGCGTTAAAACACAAAGCTAGCGATTTTACACAAAGCCAAATTTGTGGCAATTTATCAAGTTGTAACTAAATGATTATGGTACAGTTGCATATCTTAGGTATTCTATAATTCAGTTAAGCCATTTACGAAATAAGCTGCAGGTCAAATATGTGGTAAAGTACAAAGTCCCTATAACTTTTTAAACTTAATTCTAACAAAATAACAAAATAAAGAAAATAGGTTAGAAGTAAGTTATTCTTTAATACCTGACATTATTAAATTGCCATACATCATAGTAAAATTCTTGTTATTCCAGATAAATGAAAAATACCTAACAGAAAATGAGGATAAAGTAAAAGGGTGATTGTAGGATTTATTATACAATCTAATACAAACTCAAACATGAACTCATGTGATCAGGTCAATATTTATGTTATGAAGTTTCATACATTTACAGATGTGGTGCCAAAATATTAGATGAAAAAATAATTATGTGACATATTAAAATAAACAGCAGTTTTTAAGTAACACAAGCACATTTCATTGTTGTATCAAAACTGTATATAGCATACTAAAATATATTTAAATAGATAATGTATTGATCACAAATGTTCATCAGATACACGATATATCAATGCATGTGGATACAATTGGCTGAAACTAGTTTTCTCCACAGGGTGCCTGAGCTCTCCTTTAGAGAAAGGGTGAGTAGCTCGATCATCCCGGAGGGCCTCAGAGTTTTCTGAAGGAGTCCAACGAGGAAGAGACCCAAAGAAAGACCCAGGACACGCTGGAGGGACTGTGTTTCTCTGACGAGGAAACATCTTACCCTGGAGGAGGTGGCCCAAGTTGCTGGGGTGAGGGAAGTCTGGGCGTCCCTGCTGCCCCATGACTCGACCCAGAATAATAGGAGGAAAATAGATGGACGGATCAACCACTGGAATATTTGATGATGTATATCTTCAAAGAAAAACCAGTTTTAGCAACAAATATCCTGCAGGCTGTTTGAATTTCTGACATATTAAATATAATAAACTTGTCAATGTTTTTTTTGTAACAGTTGTTTTATGAAGCTGGTGAATATTTATGGACACAAGCTTAAACCAGTATAAAATAACCTCCTCTTGAACAAAATTACAAAATAAAATCCTTTTAGGCTTTATGGGCTGATTTTTATTGACATTATAGTTCCTAATCACAGAATGCTGTCTAATGTGTCTGCAGTCAGGTTACTTTGCTATTTTATCCATTTCACGTCTCATGTCCCGTAAACGTATATATGTCGATGGTGTTGACACATATAGTGTTCGGCTACAGGCACTCACACACACACACACACACACACACACACACACACACACACACACACACACACACACACACACACACACACACACACACACACACACACACACACACACACACACACACACACACACACAGAGCAGACCAACAGTACCAGGTCTCTTTACTCTGACGGTTCTACGAGGCTTTCTCCAGGAACATACATATATACGAGAGAGGAGCTGCAGCTGGTAGCTGTCTGTTCTCTACTGCAGATAAAAGAAGGAGGCTGATGAGAAACACACAACAGCGTGTGCACGTCGCACTCACCTGACGCTGTTCCTGGCTTAAACCATTACGTTTTCTCCTACCTGCAGCGTCACTCCACCCCGACACCACATACCTGAACGATGTTTACATCTGTACAAATACTTCCAATCACAACATGTCTTACAGGAAATACACTGGTATGTGAATGCCTTTGCTGGAATGAACACTCCATTTGAGGGAGAAAGATGCAAGTGATTACATGTCTGTTTCCCCTAATGCTCTAAAGTGATGTTTCCGGGATAACAGGTCACCTTTTGACTTGACCTTTGACCTTATGGTGACTCCCAGGGCTGAATTTGACTGGTGTTCTCACTGGAGACAGACACACACATGTGGAGCAATAACGCTATGAGCTCAGGTCCAAACTTAACCGGTTATATTTAGCATCTATTTTTATAGAAAATGATGACCCCTCTCCCCGTAAGTCTCTGGAATTGAGTCAACATTTGGAGGTGAGGGACTGTGGGAATTTTGCCACCATGGAGCGAGATAAGATATGAAGGGAATGCTTTGCTGCAAAACAACCCCCTCCCCTCCCCTTGGCACCCTCTTCTGTGGAATAATAATGCTGCATTCATATTGCAGGCACAGCCCACCCCCACACACACACACGCACACACACATATCTCGCTCGCTGCATCCTCTCGCTGTCCGAGCCGATTTCCATCACTCGATAAGAGTCCCACTGTGCGTTATCAGGGCTGCCCCGTACTGTAGTTAAAGTTGATATTGGCATGGAGAGCCAGGTTTTATGATCCATAACAAGTTAAATCATTAAGTCATTAAAAGTCATTAGCAAACATCAGCATTGTAAATTGGCCACAGTTGGTCTCAAGAGGCCCACAAGAGCTGTGAAGAGGGAGAGATAAAGATGCATCAGTAAGTGAGGCAGGGCAAACAATGGACGTGTGTGATGAGGCGGTGGGAGACGGGCGTCCCTGGGCAGGAGTCTTTTAGGGGTCACAGCTGGACTCTGCAGCCTCACAGTTATGTCTCAACTGGTCAAATCCTTTGGATGTGCTTCTCCCAGATGCCTCCCAGCATTCCTGGCCTGCGCGCGCGTGGGGTGGGGTGGGGGGTGGGGGGGGATATTGAATTAGAGAAAAAAAGGCAGAGACGGAGAAATGAAGGAGAGGGAGAAATATTGACTCCTTCTGGGAAGGAGAGAGACAGCAACGCCTTTCCAATAACCATAAACCCACTGGGCTGAAAATAGACGAGCCGAATGAATAAACGAATGTGTTCATCCCACATGAGCGCTTCTCTTTCACCAATGGAGGGGAATGGAGGTGACCCTCTCCTCCCTCCTCACCTCACTTTTTTCTCTCTTCTTTCGCCAAGGCCATCATTTCTTCAGCGTGACAAGGGGCATTAACTGGAACAAAACAGGTGTTTGTGGGAAACCTTCCCTGTGATGAGGTTTTTCCACACAAACACACTCCTCTGTAAAGGTGTCGATGAGAGACGGGGAACATCTGCTTCACGTTTAACACAATCCTCCCTTTTGTGTCACCGGATGTGATTTACTCCACTATCCTTCCGAGGACAGAACCTTTCTTGGAAGTAACTGACCAAAAATCTTAAACTGAGGACTTACCCCCTTCAGTGCAGAGCCCTGACCCCCAGCTGCCCCCTACTCTCTGAAGTGATGGCTGAAATCGGTCCCATTCTATTTAGATGACTGTAATTATTATTAATTTATTTCGTGGAACGTTTGTTTTACTTATTTGAACCTAAATTTACTACCCTAAAATATATATTATACAACAGATATTTTTATTAGAAGGAATGATAGCAATACCTATTTTTCAAGTGTTTTATGTATATTTTGCAGGCTCCCCTTCCATAAAGATGTTTTCACATGAAATGAGTAGCCACTCTGCCTGAGTGTTTACACACACTTTGCCCCTCCTTTGCACCATTCATCCATCCATTCATCTTGCAGGAGCAGCAGCCTAAAAGCAGAGAGGCCCAGATTTCCCTCTCCTCTGCCGCTTGGGCCAACTCTTCTGGGGGGATCCTAAGGTGTTCTCTGGCCAGCCGAGAAACAAAGTCCATCCAGTGTGTCATGGGTCTTTCCTTGGTTCTCTTCTGCCTGGTTGGACATGCATGGAAAACTTCTCCAGGGAGTCATCCTAACCAGACGCCGCCTCAACTTGCTCCTCTTGATGTGGAGGAGCAGCAGATCGACTCCAAACCCCTCCCGGATGACCGAGCTTTTCACCCTATCTCTAAAATCTAGTTTATCCTTCTCCGTCTGCGTCGGTGCAGAGACACGCAGCGCCGTTATTTGTCGTCACAAGGGCTCTCCAACAGCCTCGCAAGGATAGATGGAGTCAAGCTCACTTTCCTAACTATCCCTCAAAAGCAGCAGAGAGCGGCTTCCTTTAACTTTGTCAACAGCACCGTTTGCACTGTCCTCTGCTGTCGTGGTGGAGAATTGCTTCTCAACACTGACACCAACGGAGAAGTTTAAAAGGAGAACCTCTCCATCAGAATGTGCGCATGTGAGTGCAAACTTACTGATGGGAAGGTATAAACTAGGTTTAAGGGAGAGCCCAGAAACCCTGTGGAGAATACTCTGTGTCTGCAATCTGGTACCCAAAGCTCGTGACCATAGGTGAGGGTAGGAACGTAGATCCACCAGTAAATCCAGAGCTTTGCCTTCGGTCTCAGCTCTCTCTTCACCACGACAGACCGGTACAACACTCGCATCACTGCAGATGTAGCACCACCTATCGATCGCCCGTTCCATCTTTCCCTCACTCGTGAACAAGACCCCGAGATACTTAAACTCCTCCACTTGGGGCAGGACCAGGGGCGGATTTAGGACTGAAGAAGATCTGGGGCTTAACACACACGCGCGCGCGCACACACACACACACGTGACACGCACTAGTCAACATCATATATATTTGTCTTGCACCACATCATTTTTAATCTGAAGCTACATATTAAGCATTTTCAGGGCAGAGTATTGTTCCTGTTAGTGTTTAGTGTGAGATGATAGTAAATATTCCTTTTCTTTCTCCAACAACGTTACCTGATAGTAAGCTAACTTTAGGCAAACCAGCAGCACAACAAATATTATCAAATAAGACTCACAAACCTGAGTCAACACCAGTATCATCAAAGCTGGGGTTCTGTCGTTGTACTTTTGGTCTAAAAAATGTCCTTATGTCCATCTTCACTCATGCGTTTCAGGCACAGAGTGTAGAAGAAGCCGGCTGCTGAAGGGCTTCTTCTTCAGTGGTGGAGGCTCAGGCAGGCTGTACACAAACTACTGCCAGCTGCTCCCTCTCTGTTGGACTTTGGTACTGCATGTTACTTCCGCGATTTAGAT